GAACCTAGGATGAAGAAGTTATGATTTTTTAACGGACTTTTCATGTCCCGGCCTGTTAAAAATATAATATTAAAAATAAAATCAAAATTCACTGACAGAGTCTAAATGAAAGTTGTAGAGTATAATTTCACCTACACGATGATATAAAGAACATCAAAAACAGAGCCCGTATGCAGAAGATATGAATTTTTGAAGTTTCAGACACAAGCTTCGAGGAAGCTGTACGCCCAACGTACTCAGTTCTGCCCCGTGTACTCGGAAGTTAGGTCCGAAATTGACCACATCACCTCTTTCTTCAGACGAAGGACACTCATCCCTTAAATGTTGACACGTCCGAGGCTGAAGGACCGAATACACGCCACGTTTGCTCTTACGCCCAGCGTACGAGAGTACGCTTAGCGTAGAGCTTCTCAACGGACGAGGAGATCAAGAAGGTAAGGTATCATGACATGTTGAGGGATAACATTAGGGAGTTTTTGATTTTTTTCAAGGTGCAAGACCATGAATGATATGATTTCTAGAGCTCTAGAGAGTGATATTTGCTTGGAGCACCTCGGGAAGAGGAAGCCATAGCAGACTCGGATTTCAGTGGGTCAGATGAAGAGGCCCAAGACTCAGGATACACGTTTGGGAGGCCATCAGGGTTGAGGCCGTTGTGCCAAGTGTGGGAGGACCCATGGAGGAGGATGTTGGGAGACAGGTCGAGGATGTTTCAGTTATGGTCAGATGGGTCATTTTAGTAGGGATTTCTCTCATGGTTCAGTTTGGATGTGCTATCACTGCAACCAAGTGCGGCACAAAAAGGACGACTTTCCGGTGTTGAGGGGTGGAGTAGTGATTGCACCTGCTCCAGTTACTTTGAGGATCACTGATGTTCGTGAGGGTAGGACAGGAGCCCCAACAGCGAGGATCTAAGCATTACAATGTCAATCAGGAGAGGCCATGGTTTCATCAGATGCTATTGCGAGTATATTATCTTTTGCTTTCTTCTTGATTATTATTCTTATTTATATTGCCTTGGCATATTGTTTTGGTATGGTTAAGCATTATCTTTCGTTTAGAATCTGTTATTGCATGGATTATATCACCAATAATTGTTGTATTCCATTTTGCATGCCAAGAGTTATTAGTAAGTTATATATCGCTAAGCAGGATACAGTTTGTTTGGTTGTTTTTATGGATGTTTGATGGGGTCAATTCATGGTATCATTTGGAAGGTACATGGTTAGATTAGTTGGCTAGTTATCCAATGAAGTCAGATTTTAGTCGTGTTAGCTTTTATTACGGTAAGATCGACAGTCGTCTATGGAAGGACCTTTGGGTCAAATCACTAGCTTTGCTAGGGAATGAGCGGTATCAAGAAGATGGTGATGGTAGTCGCATGAGTTTTTTTGGTCATTGGAAGTGCGAGGGGAATTTTATAACCACAGGTGTTGAATATGGTTAGAATTTAGAGATCCTTCTGAGAACGGGAAGTTGGAGTGAATATTCACTAGTTATGGTCACATGTTATAGTTTTTTTCACCAACATAAAGGACCTAAGGATTTGGTGTCGTATTATGGGAAGTGATTGGGATTATTCGGATTGCTGAGATTTTGGAGGGTATTCATCTGGATTTTTAGAGTTGTGCAACCATCGAGATTGGATAATATTGGAATGTTGACATTTGTAAGCTCAGGATGTCGACAATGGAATCTCCAGGTTGCGAGATGGATTGGAAATCCATCAAATCTTATGCATTGGAAGGACACAGTCGAACCCAAGTGGGGGAGAATCCTTCAGAATTTCGAGAGCTGAATCAGGTGTGAAACTATGGTGAGTTTCACATCCCAGTTGGGAGGGAATACGACCCAAGTGGCCGTCTAGATTGGAGTTATGTAAATTAGGAGTTCAAGAAACTTCCAATAGCTATTTGGTGTCTTCTTTGTGATGTATAACATGCATGTGGATGGATCCAGGTTGAGGGTTTTGTTAGAGCTTCACAACTTGTTCTCATTTGATGAAGGCTTTGGGGTTTGAATCATGACCTGAACACCTAATTGAGATATAGTTAGATGCGGATTTGACTTTGGTCGGCATGGTAGAGGTATGGTAATACCATGGGCGGTGACCATGGTGGGATTGAAGTGTCATAAACTGTGCGGTGGTCGTAACATTCATTGGATTGGTAGATAAAATAGAAGTGTTAAAAGACTACAAGGTAGATGTAGCATTCACCAGGATACTAGGCAGTCATGGAAATGTTGTAAGTGTGAGATGGGGATCGTAGTATTCGCTAGATTGAGATAAACCATCATTGAGGATTTCTATGTAATAGGGAAATGACCATTGGGATCCAAGGCGAGGTTAGGCCTATGTAGATCTTCATGGGGTGAGACCCATGGGCATGGTCCGTTTGTCGGTATAGACTAGGTGAGCCCCGTGGACGAGGCCCAAATGATTATGGTAGTGCAGGTGAGACCTGGTAGAGACCTGTTGGGTCAAAATATTATATCATGGTTTTAGTGGGTTGATTGTGTGTTTAGTGAGTGGCATAGAGTGATGTATAGGCTAGGGTAGCCTTGTTAGTTGGACTCTCAGGAACCTAGTGGCTGGACCAGGTGCAAGACCGGCAGTCTCATCGGTGATTTGGGGATTTTATATCCCGGTTTAGTGAATGTTTACCGTGAATTAGAAGATTTCGGGTGAAATGTAAATGTAATCCTTGGATATTATGTTATGACTTATGTACCGAGTTGGCTTTTGGTTGAGACTCGAATTGGTAATCGTTATTGTATATGTGCAAGATCTTTATTTTAGCAAGATATGAATTAAGGAATATATATGTCAAGGGCATCAACTGAAGGGTTCAGGGTTAAAAGTGATGTTTTATGTTCAGATGGTAGAAAAGGCCCTACTGATTATGCTTTAGAATGGTTCTACTTATTTGTAGGTCTAGAAAGTTATGGGGTTTCATAAGTATAACAGTAGCATATTGGTTTAGCTGTTAAGGGAGCAATGACTTGTTCAACTCTAGAATGTTTAAATCCTAGATTGCCTCTTGTTGCTCATTATGTTCATGAATTCGTTAACTTCAGGATGAGTCTTATACTCGAAGGATTATCTAATCCCTTTTATTAAGTAAAAAGTTTTTGGCAACAATGAATGGTCAATGATTCTGTTTTCTAGTGGAAACATAAAGGTAATTAGAAGTTGGATGATCATTTTAGAATACAAAGTGGAGTTGAATTAGTAGTGGTTTAGTATGGGCTATATGTCCGGGAGTCAGACAAATTTTAAAATATTAGATTTCAGGCATAGTAGAAATGGTTATTCTTCAGGGGTTAATTTAAATTGAGTAAGGATCCGTTCATCGTCAAGATTTGGGAGTCCTGCTAAGGCTGGGTTCGGTTTAGTTTTGGAAGACTGTTGTAAGCCCGTGGTTGCTTACTCGGTTTGCATCCGGGTTATGGTTGTTTGGTTTAGTCTGTTTAGCGTAAACAGAATGGTAAGGAATGATTTCGAGTAAGAAATCTAATTTAAGCAGAGGAGATTTGTAACACCTGATTTTGAGGACGAAATCTAATGATTTCGAGTACTAAATCTAATTTAAGTAGGAGCTAGCTTAGACCAAAATGAGTTGTCCTTTTGGACGTTTTAGGGTGGATAAAGTGATAAAATTGTGATATTAGACCTTCCTTTCACTCCATGCAAGTTTTAAGGTGTCTTAATAGGTTAAGGAGTTGGAGTTTTAGCATTTGGGCTCATTATAACAATGCATGGCCATAAAGTTTGCATCTTTATGGTTTTAGATGTTCTATTAGCTATGGATATGAAGTTTGGACTTGATATCTTAAGTCATTAAGTCATTGGTTTGGAAGTTGGTGAACAGAGAGCAAACGCCAGGCGTTTCCATGTGAACTCTCAGTGTTAGAATGCCAGGCGTCGTAGGGAGTAATGTCAGTCATTCTGTGCAGAAGCCGAATGAGTCAATTTTTAGGCCTTGGGACATTAGGGGTCTTGGGCTTAGTCTAGTTGGGCTTGTATAAAAAGGAAAATGGCTTTTTCCCCTTATCTTGATAAGAAATGGACTAGATCATGGGTTTAGGTTAAACCCTAATTATTTATTGGGTTTGTTTATGGTTTTCGTTTAGCATGAGGAGTAGTGCTCGCCACGGATCGAGTGTTGTTTCAGTTATCATTAGTAGAGGTGAGTCTCCTCACTGTTCTTGTGGGTCGAACACACCAATGCCGGCCCACTAGGTTTTGATATGTTAGATGTCTTCGTGACTTTGGCATGGAATGTCGGGCTAGGCCTATTTGTATGATGGGATAGGCCCATTGTATGATGGGCCAGACCCATTTGTATATAGGGCTAGGCCTATGTATCAGGAAGGGCTAGGCCCATTGTATGTTATGTAGGTGCTAACTCTTTTTTTGACTTTTGCATTTGTATGATCGAGATAGACCCATTAGTTTGGTAGGGCTAGGCCCATTATGGTGGGTTGGGCCCAATATGCGGGATGGGCCGAATGTAAGGGTTAGGCCCTATGGTATGTATGATAGGTGGTATTTTGGGAAACTCACTAAGCTTTGTGCTTACGGTTTTTATGGTTATGGTTTCAGGTACTTCCGGTTCGAAAGGAAAGGGTCCGACTTGATCGCAACGCATCCACCATGTTCTGCATTATGATGGTTTTGGGGTCGTACTCTGATAATTGTTTTCTTAAAAATTACTTTTGAATGTTTAGAAAAAGGACAATGAATGTTTGAATTAAAGATAATTAATGTTTTGGTCAAATTAAATATGAAAATTTTTACCTCATAATTTTTGGGACGTTACAACGACCACTCACCTGCCACCATCATCCCCACCACCACTTATCAAAAATACCCTTCTTCCACCACCACTCACCCACCACCACTACCACCACCTACCTGTCACTATCACCTGTCTCCACCACTTATAGACACAATTAACACTCTCAATTTTGATAATAGAGGGGACTCATCACCATAATCAGTAATCACCACCACCAACCACCACCAAAGCATTATTAGCATTGTCAATCACCACCAACTCACCTGCCATTTGACTTCACTCTGGATAAAAATTACACAACTGTAAGGTATTGACTTGGTTATCCCTTGATGGCCAAAAAAATTATGTAGCAGGAGAAACAAGAGAAAGAGAAGAATAATAAGGAGTGAAAACATGATATTACATGCTAACCAAATAATTTATTGCTGGAAATCTGATTTAAAATATACAAAAACATAGTCCCTACTTATACTAATCATAACTTAATCATAATCAAACACGAATACTTACTAAAATGAATTCTTCCTAAAATACCCTTGGTACTAAATTTATCCTAAAATTATGAATTAATCGCCAAAAAAGGAGTGAAAACATGATATTACATGCTAACCAAATAATTTATTGCTGGAAATCTGATTTAATATATACAAAAACATAGTGCCTACTTATTCTAATCATAACTTAATCATAATCAAACACGAATACTTACTAAAATGAATTCTTCCTAAAATACCCTTGGTACTAAATTTATCCTAAAATTATGAATTAATCGACAACAATTGATTCAAACATCCTTGGACCACCAAACACCATCAAAACAACTAGATACTTATAAGAAATGTATTATTCCATAGTATGTATAAAACTAGATACTCATTGTAATAATACAAAACAAGACACCATTTTTGGATGGCAACTTGACATAAGTCTCGTCCATGTAATTATCATAACTCCATTGCACATCCATGACGTCATCCATGGTTATCATGTTATCTTTCTCACCCACTATCTAAGACCTAACTGTTGTTAACTCCTACATATGAACATGCAAATTAGACAAAGTGATTCATATTACATTAGGATTTTCATTATATGTCCTTTAACCATGCAGATTAGTATAACCAAAATGCTTGATTTTTCATAGACATTCTAAGAAAGAAGGAACACAAATAGGAAATTACATATATAGTGGCTAACTTAACATGATAAGCAAAAGAGATTTCCAAAAGCTTCATATAACCCTCAACTGAGGTGCTTCAGTCGTCAATCGTCACAGACATATTCCATCATTCCTTCATAAGTGGTGATTGTCTACACCATGGTTTCTATAGCCGCCAATAGGGTTCTCATGAACTCCACATCTAACTTACGAGAATCGATGAGAAGGATTTTTGGAATGAAAAGGGGTTGGACGTTAGTTCTTTTATCTTTTGTTCCTTCACGTCGAAGTCATATTGGAGTTTTTTTATACAACACCATCGCAATTGATTTCGTCTGGCGTTCTGTGTTAATGAGGGATTGGAGGACAAATTTGAGTTCCTTGGCATTCATGGTGTAGTTGTGGTGATAATGATGGGTGTTTACAAGAGAAGTTTCAAAGGTGTGTGTGTTCCATTGTTTTCGATCGGTTTATATACAAGTGGTGAAAAGATCACATTAGGAAGACGAAAGGAAGAAGAAGGGGAAGAGATTGACAATAGGGAGGGAAGGTGAAGAGTTCGTCGGTAGGTTTACACATCATGTTTCACTTTTGGTCCCAAATGTTTTAGTGTTTAGCAAATTTGGTCAAAGGATAAAAATTAAGAAAAATACCAAAGACAAAACTGCAAAAATGGTCCCTGTGGTATGCAAAATATTCGGGTTTTAGTCCAAACCATGACTTTTTTGGATTGGTGGTCCTTTTGAGTTAGTTTCATTCCGTTTTTGGTCCCTCTAAATAGTGAAATGACTATAAAACCCTTAGGTTATTTATTTTTCATTTCTTTCATTTTTTTAAAAAATCTAAATACTTATTTATTTATTTAACCAATTATAAAAATAAAAGTCTCTTATTTCTCTCTCTCTCTCTCTCTCTCTCTCTCTCTCTCTCTCCGGGTCGTATACCCATTTCTTTCTTCCGTTCCCGATTTCAACGAACAAGAAGGGACTGCTACCTCCGACAATTTGGAGATAGCCACTGCACCACCTGCTAGCCTCCATTCGACCACCAAACTCCACCGTGAACCGCTACATCTCCGCCCACCATAGAACCATTCCAGCCTCCCCCCATCTCTTTTTCTTTTCTGTTGATTTGAGAAACCCCAAACAAACCCCAATCCTTGCTCATTTTTCCCTCTTCGATCACCCTTGTATTGGGAAGACAGAAGCAACAAATGTATTGTGCAACCACTACTCGCCGCCGTTGCTGTGGTGGGCAGTCCCCACCACCACCTGTCACTGCCCACGAATCCAGATGCAGGTATCTGGCGGGACGAATTTAAACCCAAAAGAAACTTGAACAAACTTACCAATGGCAGCAAGGCGATGGTGACAGACTGCAGTGGTGGTGGGATGTAATGGCGGTCGACGGTAGCTTTGACTGCTTCGTTTTCTTGCTGCTCCGGTGAGTTCGACGAGGGGTCAAGAGGAAGCAGCAGCTGACAACGGCGGAGCTTCACATTAACAGAGACGTGGTGGCACTGAGTGATGATGTAGGCGAGTGGTGGACTTCCAGCGGCTTCTGTTGCTTTGTTTACAGCTTACCCTCTACGGTGGTGATCGAATTCGGTGACTAGTGATGGTTGGAGTTCCCTGACAACAGCAGCTTGGTGGTGTCGGTGATGACCGAAACTCCACAGCATTAACGACGGTGGGTAATCGTGGGTGGTTGCCCTTAGAGGTTCTTGTTCCCTTCTTCGTTTTATGAGCAGCAGGTCTTAAAGAGGAAGAGTGTAGAAGGATAAGGTTGGATGAATGAAAGAGAGAGAGAGAGAGAGAGAGAGAGAAGTGGGCCCCAAATTAGGTAATTATTTTATTTTTCATTTAAATTAAGTAGAAAAAGCATTAAAAAAATATATCAGAAGGGCATAATAGTCTTTTCAGTTTACTGAGGGACCAAAAACACAAAGAAACTAGCTCAAAAGGACCACCAATCCATAAAAGTCGTGGTTTGAACTAAAACCCCAAAATTTTGCATTCCATAGGGACCATTTTTGCAATTTTGTCTATAACAAAATAACAAGGGCATTTTCGTCAACATATATACAGGTAAGGGAAGGTTGCTAAACGGAACGGTCCTAGGGACAACCAATGATACAAAAAACCTCTACAAGGACCAATCGTGTTATTTTCCGACCGTAGGATCAAAAATGTTATTTGGTGCAAATCATAGGGACCATTTGTGTAATTTATTCTAATATTTTTTAAGGGATACCAACATCGAGATATACTTTTTGGATACATTTCGAGATTATTTTTGCTAATATTATATAGTTAGTTGTATATTCAAATTGTAATATACAAATAATATATCTATACCAATATCGATATATATTTTTGGATACAGTTTCGAAGTGAAATATATAACTAATACATTAATTAATCGTATATTCACAATGTAGCATATATTTGAGAAATGAACTAGTTGTTTATTTAAGGACCAACGTATTAGTTACATATTCTATTGCGAATATACTAATAAGCTCCTTAATTATACTCCATCGTTAATATATAACTAACTAGTGTATTAGTTGTAATATATATCGAATTGTTGCCCTACTTATATATTTCAATGTGGTTGTTCTAATAAGTTCATTAGTCTCTCTTGCAAATACAACGGCTATAAAACACCTATCTTCATTTGTTGATTTTTATTGAATAATTGGTCACTTCATCAATCATTTGGTTTATTTTCAAATCGAGAAAAGGTTACATAGGAATCGTGATATGTATCAAGAGATCTACAAATATAGAAAAGATAAAGAAATGGTCTTTGCAAGTTTGCTAACGCTAAAGAGAGTAATGATATTGTATAATAAGTATTTGCTAGGAAAATAGAACCTGAAAATTGTACGAAGGAACAAACCATAAAATTATAGACCGAGGCTTGTGTTTAACACAGTTTCTTTAAAATAAATTCGTCGGGTGTTTGTTTCCCAGGATACAACAGTAGAAAACAGTTCTTATAGATTGTCCGAACACTCACTTGGCCCGCATTATACATTGATTGCAGCAACACAGAAAAAATGAAGCAGAAGCGTAAGAGATGAAGATAGTGATTTCGTTTCATCAAATGTCTTGAATCAGTCACATAGGCGTCAACCATAAAATTATAGACCGAGGCTTGTGTTTAACACAGTTTCTTTAAAATAAATTCGTCGGGTGTTTGTTTCCCAGGATACAACAGTAGAAAACAGTTCTTATAGATTGTCCAAACCCTCACTTGGCCCGCATTATACATTGGTTGCAGCAAGAGAGAAAAAATGAAGCAGAAGCGTAAGAGATGAAGAGAGTGATTTCGTTTCATCAAATGTCTTGAATCAGTCACATATGCGTCATATATATACTACCAAATATAACTGATGTAATTAAAACGAAATCGTAACTGTTACAATTAAATAAGAAAATTAACCAAGAAATCAAAACGGAAATCTATGATTAATTGCTCTTAATTTGTTTTTATAACTGTTAACCAAAAGCAAAAAAGGTCCTTGAACTTTTCTTGTCGACTGGTGGTGCATTTGTGCCTGTACACAAGTTCAGTGGCTCGAAACCAATTTGGCTCGCATTTGCACCCCCTACGTGCGCACACAAGAGAGAGCATTGGTTCAAATAAGTCTTACAAAGGTAGTCAATATTTCTAGTTATAAACCAATTCCCTTTTCATTATCCCACCAATGTGGGATGAGTTTTAAAACTCAATTAACTCCTTTATTTTCTCTTCCAATTGCCCTACTTTGACAAGTAATTTCTCATTCATATTTAATCTATTTTGGAAGTGTGATATATCAAAACGAAGATATCACGGAGGAGCACACGAATATATAATCAATAACTCGTTTCGATTATATTTAGAGTCCAAAATTTGTGCTAAAAAATGGGGAATATCCATTTTTGGAAATTAATAAAATTAATTTTCCAACAATCCCTCACATGAATGAAAATTGCTTCAGCATCCGCAATTCCAATCTGCTTTAGGTAAAATCCAGCAATTGAATCATGCACATGATAGGTAGGTTTGACCCTTTGAACCTTCCCTTAAGATGCATATTTATTTTACTAACGGATCAGTAGACTCGATGTCCTTGAACTGTTATGTCATTTGTGTAAGTAGTTAATACATGTCTCACATTATTCTCCCTGACCTAGTTAGGTTCTCATTGATGTTTCCGTTTTGAAGATTTTGCAACTAACTCCCTGTTTAACCCTGTGACATCCCCAAATTCACGGCCAAAAAAGACCGTTTTTCTTTATACCTTATTTCAAAATCAGAGTAACCTTTTAATAAAAGAGTTGCGGAATTTGTCCCAAAATAATAATATGATAAAGATTTATCAAAAGCATTTCCTTAGAAATGTATTTCATTAAAAGACTCAGGATGTCATGTTCGCTACAGTACATAACTATAAACAATACAATATAAGCCTTACTACATTATTTCCTATCTACAGGCCTATATTCGTAATCCCTCATCTCAACACATCACAACTGTGCTCGAGCGCCACTACCTGTAATACATAAAACTGAGTGGGTCAGGCTTGGGAGCCTGGTGAGCATACAAGGTTTTCAATCCACAATAAATAGTTTATTAATTTCATCAACCAACAATAACCCGATTACCCATTCTCGTTATCCTCACATTACGTCCCTAAACACCTATCATAAGGATCATCATCGGGATGGACACTACTTCTAAGGGGGTTCCTTTGCAATAAATGTCCTAAAGGCAACCATGTGAGGGATGGAGTACACCGGTGAACACATCGTTCACAACACCTACAGGATGCGATCCTGCCAACGTTCCACTGGACTGTCTAGAAGAGTCCGTGGTTGTCATCTATACTCCGCTAGATGACTAGATCAACAACAACAAGATCGAGGCCTCTCATCATTTTATCACATATCGTCTTATTACATCTACCCATGTTTTACCCCAACATTATTGTAGATATAAAATACATATACAGTTTGAATCATTTAAAACTTGTATAAAAACATTCATCCAGCATAGATAGCAAGTATACAGATAATATGCACACATATCACGTAATATATAAAATACTTCATATCTATGTGTAAGATGAAAGTAACTATACACTCACCTTAGTAGCGTGATTTTATGTTATCTAAGCAAAACGGTCAGCGTGCGAGATCGTCGAGGCTCGGGATGCAAAATGACCTCAGCAAAGGAGAAAAAGGGAAGAAGTTTTGCTGTAAGAATGGCTGAATTCGGACCTACTATTTATAGTAGGGATTTTAGAAACTCACGTCGTGAGTGTCATAAGGCTCACGTCGTAAGTCTTGCATGATCACCCTGTAGACTTGCCATTTGCGTCCCTAGCTTCGGAAGGTGGCCATGTGACTCCTCATGTCGTGAAAAACACCTTGTTCACGTCGTGAGTTTGGATCCTATCCCCTCGCAGCCTCGTCACACCTTCTAGATTTTGAAATGTGGCAAAATGACTCCTCACGTCGCGAGTGTCATAAATCTCACGTCGTGAATTTAGTTAGCTTAGGGTTTCTGAAAGCTGAATCTTCGGAAGGCCATGATTTTTGCATACGAACTCCGTTTTTGACGTTCTTTATATCGATGCGTAGGTGGAAACATACTCTACAACTTTCATTTAGACTCATAAGGATAAAAAGTAGTTTATCATAAACTAACTTTTTATGTTTCCCAATGTCGTGCCGGTTTTGACGCGAAACTTCGACAGGTCATACTTCTTCGTTATAACTTGGATTTTGGCGTTCTTTATATCTCCGGAATCCTTGTCCCGACCACTACAACTTTCTTCATAGATATTGGACCTATCTATTATTTTATTTTTGATGCTTATTCTTATTCTTAACTTATTATATCTTATAATTAAATATAAGGCACATAAAATCACATAATATTTAAATAATTTCTATTTATTACTTCAAAGTAGGTTATAAGTGTTGAACCTAACTATTACACCATTAAATTAATGCTTAGCCTAGAAACATGGGCGTTACAAACCCTGTGGTTATCGTATCCGCAATGTTATCCTTGGACCTTATGTAGTCAATTGAGATAACTCCAGTTGAGAGTAGTTGTCGAATGATGGTGTGTCTTTGACGGGTGTGTCGAGACTTACCATTATACATAGCACTTTGCGCCGGTCCAATTTTCGATTGACTGTCGCAATGGATTGAGATTACAGAAATTGGTTTAGGCCATCCTGGTATATCTTCCAAAAATTGTCGTAGCCATTCAGCTTCTTATCCACTTTTATCAAGTGCGATAAATTCAGATTCCATGGTGGATCTTGATGGGTTTTGATCATAACATCATTCCTATGGTGTTCATGCAACCCTAATTGCTTTGATCTAGGTTTTTATAGTTAAACATACAACATTGAATACCAAAGCAATAAACCCTAGATCTAGCATACAATAATCGAAATTGACAAAAGAATAGAGTTTAGATCTTACCTTGATTGTTATATCGCAATAACAATCTGAATCCTTCTTGTAATCAACTTCTGAAAGTCGAGTGCCTCAAATGTTGCACCTCTAATGGAGTCACAAACACCATATGCAACAAGATGAACAAGAAGAGAGGGAGGAGGCACCAAAAACATCCTAAGCAGCCCATGGAATCCCTCCTTAGAGGCCTTGG